AATTCGAATATTCATAACACAAAGAAATAATGAATGCTTAAGGTGACAGATACCACTTACCCTGATGTGACTATTATGCATTATATGTCTGTATCGAAATATCTCATGTGCCCCATAAATATATATACCTACTACATACTCATACAAATTAAAAATAAGTTTTTCAAAAAAAGAAATAGGAATAAGAGACTCACAAAAGTAGCCGATTCATGGTACTACGTACTAAAAATGTGATAGGGAATGAGATAGTTTGTATAGCAGAAAAAATAAACAGATATATCAGTTCCCTAGTGCTGCCATAAAAAAAAAAACTACCACCAACAGAGTGACTTAAAACAATGGAAATTTATTCTCTCATAATTTTCTGGAAGTCAGAAGTCCAAAATCAAGGCATAGGCAAAGCCACCCTTCCTTGGAAGTCTGCAGGGGAAAAGACTTGCTTGCCTCTTCCATTTTCTAGTGGATCCAGGCATTCCCTGGCTTGCGTCTGCCTCATTCCAATCATTAGCTCTGTCTTCACAAGGCCTTCTCCTCCATGTCTATGTCTTCCCCTCTTCTGTCTCTTACGAGAACATTTGTTATTGGATTAGGGTCCACCTAGAGATCCAAAATGTTCTTATCTTGAGATTTTTAATTTAATTATATCTACAAAGACCTTTTCTCTAAATAAGGTCACTCTCAGGACTTGCCATTTCTATACTGTTTTTCTAGGAACAAGAACCAACAAGGTTGTCTTTCTGCCAGTTATGGTTTCTGATTCAACAAAGAACTGTGGACAGGCACGGTGGCTCATGTCTGTAATCCTAGAAGTCTGGAAGGCCAATGTGGGTGGATCGCTTGAGCCAGGAATTTGAGAACAGCCTGGCCAATGTGGTGAAATACTATCTCTACAAAAAAAAATACAAAAAAATATCTAGGTATGGTGGTGTGTGCCTACAGTCCTAGCTACTCAGGAGGCTGAAGTGGGAGGTTCACTTGAACTTAAGAGGTTGAGGCTTCAGTGAGTCAAGGTCATGCCACTGCACTCCAGCCTAGGTGACAGAGTAAGACCCTTTCTCAAAATATAAATAAAAAAATAAAATAAACAGCTTTTTATTAATGATATTCTCCCTGGTAAGTTAATAATTTTCCAATATCTAAGATTCTAACTTAAAAATATTCTCTAGCTTGAAGAATGTTACTTATAATCTAAATGAATACTAGGAAATACTATAGTTTTAAAAAGCTACTTAAGATGACCTCCAAAGCAGCAACTAAATTTGGATATATACCCATAATGACATTTTTTTAAAAGTCTGGTAATTTTAAATTTTATTCAAAATAGAAAAGAAATGCTAAGTTAAAATGAGATTGTTCTATTTACCTGGACAATATTAGTACATGAAACTTGTCCTCTAGTAAGAGCCTTTCAATATTTATATGGCAGCATGGTTTAAACCATAGAAATAATGCTATTTTTGAATGTCTCCAGAAAAAACGAATCATCACCTAAAACGTGATCTCAAGTCTGTAAGAGAAGATAACATCAGTAAAATGGGAGGAACAAGGGGTTGTGGAAAGAAAAACAAAATTAATTAGATATTCTTTTCTGAGACATAAACTTCTAGTACAGTAACGAATTCTGAAATAGCAGAGCATTATCAATAACATGGAAATAGTATACAATAAATTTTGAAAGAGAAATATATACTAAAAGATGATGTCTCAGAGTCTAATAACATCTCTTTTGAAAATCCATTTATTAATCGTATTTATTAGCAATAATTAGAAGGGAAGTAGATTTCTGCTAATTAAATTCTGAACTTACTCTTTTATTCCCTAATGGGAACTGATACCGTATACCTTTGCCTGATCTGTGATTCATTCTTTCGAATGTGAAAAACACATAAGCCAGCCTTTTACGTGAGTACATGAGATTCTGCAAAATTAATTTTTCTTGGGAAAGTTAAAAATTATTTATTTATTAATTCATTTATTTTTAAAGGCATGATCTTGCTCACTCTGTCACCCATGTTGGAGTGCAGCAGCACAATCATAGCTAGTGTCGACTATATAATCGTAGCTCTATGTTGAATCAAACTCCTGGGCTCAAGTGATCCTCCTGCTTCTGCCTCCACCTCCCAAGTAGCTGGGACTGCAGGCACACACCACCATGCCTGGCTAGTTTTTTTATTTTTTGAAGGGTCTCATTATGTTGCCCAGGCTGATCTTGAACACCTGACCTCAAGCAATCCTTCTGCCTTGGCCTCCTAAAGTGCTGGGATTACAGTCATGAACCATGGTACCCAGCTAATTCTAACTTACTAGCTTGAGTAACACAATTAGTTATAAAAGCTCATCTTTTACTGTATTTTATTGTATCTCTTTTCTAAACTATATCACTTATGTCAAAACTTATTAAAAGAAGCCAAATTTTCTCCTTTCTCCTATTTGGCATACAGTTTCTTTCAGGGAGCATATCTACCACTGTGAAACTTTCTAGCTTTTAGTGGCTACTCCAAGGCTATTTCTAGCCAACTGTTATATGCACTGCTAATGATATTCTACTTTTAAATGTATTTTTTTCTCCACTTAAGGCACATCCAATGTATTATCTCATTAGCTCTATCCCTAGCTCATCTGGTTCCTAATACATATATCTGAATGAATACTTCTTTTATAATTCCTACCTTCAAAAATTAATTATAAAATATTTGTTTAAATACCTTTTTGATTCTTTGGTGGCACTAATCTGATTAAAAGTGAGAAAGAAACCTAAAGGCCTTTAAGTTGAAAAAAACGAACTGATAATTTTCTTTCTTCTATTATCGGTTCTCTTTTTAATTCAGCCACTTTTACTTCCTTCTCATCCTGTGAATTTATGTTCTAGGCACTCCTTTCTACCTTGAATTTTTCCTATGTTATTCTCTACTCTTCAAAGTTAGAACATGTCAAACACAGACAAAATAGGAGAGAATATTTAAAAAATGAAATGAATGGAGGTTTCCTGTTGTGCTATATTAAAAATCAATTGAAATGATGAAAAATATTAACATGCAAATATCTGAAGACAACAGGAAAGAAAATAGGCTTTAAATTTTACAGAAACAAAAGCAACCACGGGCCAGGTGTGGTGGCTCACACCTGTAATCCCAGCACTTTGGGAGGCCGAGGCAGATGGATCACGAGGTCAAGAGATTGAGACTATCCTGGCCAACATGGTGAAACCCCGTCTCTACTAAAAATATAAAAATTAGCTGGGTGTGGTGGCACGTGCATGTAGTCCCAGCTACTCGGGAGGCTGAGGCAGGAGAATTGCTTGAACTTGCGAGGCAGAGGTTGCAGTGAGCTGAGATGGCACCACTGCACTCCAGCCTGGTGACAAAGTGAGAGTCTGTCTCACCAAAAGAAATAAATAAAATAAAATAAAAATAACCAGAATGATCAAATGAACACAACAACTTTATGAGAAACTAGGGAGCATTCTTGGTTAAGCACTGTTACTATAGAGACGAGTTGGCAGGTGGGTGCCAAGGAGGGGGGTATAACAAAACAAATACTTCATCCCTCGAGGCAGCTACAGTCTTTTCCACACAAAATTAAACCAGATTTTCCACCAATCTGATTTATAAATTCTTCTGCTTAAAATATAAACTTAAAAGGTTTTGATAAACAGCGTAGCCAATCTTGGGCTACCAAAAAAGAGGGCACATGCACATGTGCAACTAAATATTTAGCTAATTTTGATGAATTTATCTGAATTATTTATTTTTCCTTTCAGAAAAGGTTCTGGGTAGTCAAGGGCCTACGACAAGTCTCCAAAATATATTTCAAGATGCATTATAAACAAGCCCACCCCCATCCTTCTACCTTCATTACATAACAGACTGGTGAATTATGACTATATTTAAGAAGACAGGAAGTGGCAAGTGAAAATGGAGAAAAACTAATAAACAAAGTCACAAGATACAGAGATAGAATGCTTTCGGAGATGTCACACCTCAAATTTCTTTTTCTTTTTTTTTTTTCTAGAGATTGGGTCTTGCTCTGTTACCCAGGCTGGAGTGCAGTGGTGTAATCTGCAACCTTGAACTCCTGGACCAAAGCAATCCTCCCACCTTAGCCTCCCAAGTAGCAGGGATTACGGAAGTGAGCTACTATGCCCAGCTTCAAATTTCTTTAATAGGCTGACTTAAACCTGTCCAAGCAAGATAAGAAGCATAATACCTACTCTATTATCTTATTGGTTCCATGATTTGATGAGTCAGAGCAAACTGAACTCTGCCTCAAATAAAAGTTTGTTATTGTACTTCCATTCTTCTTTTGAATCACACTAAAAATCTCACCTGACAAAGAAGCTGAGGCTCAAAGTTAATGATGAGAGGATATGGAATTTGAATCCAGGTTAAGACAACTTCAAAGCTGGTGCCATTTCCACTACCTAGCACTGTCACTGGTAAAGGTATCCTTCCAGACAGAATGTGTTCTAGTTACGGGTACCCATTTTCTTTCCTGAAATAGTAAACTCTCTATCTGTAAAATAACTGCTGAATCTTATTGTGTGGTTTTTACATACTAATTAATCTCTTAATAACTTAACGCATGCTTTTGCTATAAATAACCTAATATTCATTTTGTGAAATGCAGCAAAAAGAACTAAATGGTCATTTCCTTTCATTAAGATAATTTCTCTTTCCATTCTCTATAGATATGAGAAAACATTTAATAAAAGTGATTTACTAGTAATAAAATTTTAAAAATAAACACAAATATGTTACTAACACAACTATGGTTATGATATCAACCAACAGCACAGAGTTCAGATCTGACATTCACAACCATGCACACTTGATACTGTGATTTGTTATCTTGGACAATGGCATTTACCAACTTTGTATTTATCAAAACCAACAGTTGTGACTATATTGCTTATAGTCCTGTGGCTATGCAATGATATTTAGTAATTCTCTAATTTCATTACTAAGTGATTTACTCTAAAGTGGGTATGGTTTTCCTTTCAGGATAAAAAAATACTATCCACATCTAAGATTATTTTTCACTTCGACATGCTTCACCTGAAAGAGTCAAGAAAGCGTTTCTCTAATGCATTTTAGATGTCTCATATCAGTCATTTGCTCAACTATCAGTCACTCACACAGCCTGCAATTATGCACAAAACAACCTGCTATGGTGATAACAAGGTAAGTAAGAAACAATCCTACTATCTAAGACGTTCCAATCTAGTAAAGTTGACACATACCAGCAACTTATTGAAAACATAAGGATATACATCCGAATATGAGAAGTACAAAAAGTACTGTTTATCACAGATAAAAATGCTAATGAATTCTGATTAGCGAATAAAGAAAAAGATTGCCAAGAGGTGATATCTAATTGGGCCCTTAGGATAAATGGGATTTCTACATATAGAGGTGGAAATGAAGATGGAAGTATAGGGAAAGATAAGCCAGGTTTTTGCCTTATGTGAACAAAAGCCCATGTTTATAAGAATGCCTAGGGAACCTGACGCAGTCTTGCATGACCAGAACCTAGAATATGTACCTGTTGTAGGTTTAAAAAAAAAAAAAAAAAAAAAGACAAAGAGCTAAATCTGGGTCAGAATATATAGGACCTTTAATGCCACTGCAAATTTGAACCTCATCTTACAGACAATGGAGATCCAGTAAAAGTGTTTAAACAAGGAAAGTAGTATGATTCAATTAGTGATCGAAGATAATGCCAAATAAGCAGTGAATTGAGTTAATACAGAGGGATAAAAATGGAAACAGGAAGAGATAGATGAGTAGCTATTAATATATTTAGGTAGAAACAAAGGAGCAATGTAAAGTTAGAACGACTAGAAGGATGGTGGTCATATTAACAGAAGCAGCCATCACATGAGAATATGTTGTTGGGGAGGGAAGGAACAAAGAAGGGAAACTAATCAAAGATAATGGCTTCAGTTTTGAACATTCTAGTACAACTGTTAAGATGACCGATTGTGAATTATGGTCTGGAACTGAGAAGAGAAGTAGAAGCCAAAAATAGAGATTTAAAAGGTAGTGACACAGGGATGATATTTGAAAACATGAATAAAAGTGAAGTCACTTAGAGAGAAAGGACAAAGAAAAAGAAGAGTAAGGGTAAGACCTTTAGACATCTCCATTTAAAAAGTGGGCAATACTTTAAAAAGTACAGTGAGGCAGAACATAAGCAATAGAGGAAAAAAGTCACAGAAGTCAAGATAGAGAAGTTTTAAAGGGAAGTCAATCACTAAAAGCCATGAAGAGAGTTAGAAGGTGACGAGGACTAAAGTTATGAAACTTGGCCAGATGCGATGGCTTTTACCTGTATTCTCAGCACTCTGGGAGGCCGAGTTGGGAACATCATTTGAGGTGAGGCATTTGAGACCAGCCTGGGCAACAGAGTGAGACCCCATCTCTACAAAAAAGTTAATTAAAAAAAGTATCTGGCTGTGGTGACACATGCCTGTAGTCCCAGCTACTTGGGAGGCTGGGGTGGGGGAGGATCACTTGAGCCCAGGAGGTCAAGGCTGCAGTAAGCTATGATCATGTCATGTGCCACTGTACTCTAGCCTAGCCACAAAGCAAGACCCCATCTAAAAAAAAGAAAAAAGAAATGAAAGTTCTAAAACTTATCAAATCTCTGGTACTTTGGGGTAATTTCAGGGGCAGATAAAACCAGATTTCAGGGTACTTTAAAAAATTATTGAGGCCAGGTACAGTGGCTCACACCTGTTATTCCAGCACTTTGGGAGACTGAGGCAGGTGGATCACCTGAGGTCAGCAGTTCAAGACCAGCTTGGTCAACATGGTGAAATCCTGTCTCTACTAAAAATACAAAAATTAGCCAGGTGTAGTAGTACATGCCTGTAATGCCATCTACTTGGGAGGCTGAGACAGGAGAATTGCCTGAACCCGGGAGGTAGAGACTGCAGTGAGCCAAGATGGAGCCACTGGACTCTAGCCTGTGTGACAGAGAAGAGACTGTCTCAAAAAAAAAAAAAAAAAAAAAAAATTATTGAGCACATATAAACTACTTTTTAGGAAAGGTTGGTAAAGAATGGAGATAGCCACCAAAGTGTCAAAACTTTCAGTCAGTGCTAAACACCAGCTGATAGATTGCAAACTTAGAATGTGCTTGTTACTGGGGAAGGGTGTTAACCAAATAAGTGAATGAGAGCATAACTGGGAATAACTCAAGTGTGCTGTTTTGGCTTTAACTTAAGTTTCTAAATTGAGTAAATTTTATGAATAGTCATCATAATAAAGTGAGAGGAAGCTGTTTTAAGTTATAAAAGTATCTATGATGCCTATCACTTCAAATCAAATAGAATGTTACAATTAGTACTGAACAAGCACAGAAACTTGCTTTACTTCACAGAGAAACACTAAAAATATGGTGTTAAAGAGAACCTCAGTTAAAAAAAAACAATATTGTGAACATAATAAAGAATAATTTCCCCAACATTTGGGGAAAAGAAGAGATAAAGAAAATCTTAACATAAGGCCAAATAACAGAACATTAGAAAGTAGTCTGAATTCATGAAATAACAGTTTGAAACAGAAAACTTGTCCAATAACCCTGCAGTTCACATTTTATTTATTTTATTTTCATGCAGATCACTGGCAAATCTGTAACCTAAAGTACTTTAAAAGCTGAAAGAGAATTATTTTGTTAGCCTAATATTTGGTAGGCTCACCACTAAAACTATTTGGAAAATTGTGAAATAAAATTACTTACAGAGAAGAATTTTTCTCACTTTTTTCTGAATTCTAATTTTATGACATTGCAAGAAACACAGTAAAAATATTCCTACCCTAGGTATAAAAATTGCATTTTTGGATCTTCTCATGTGAGCAAAAGCTGCTGTGAGTCTTTGAGAGACCTATGTGGAAATCTTATGTATTTTACTATCATGGTCTATGGGTTTTCAATTCATTGGCAGAAATACAAACATATATTAAATCACAGGCACAGCATTTATGATTGCAGAAATCTTGTTCCTTAGCGTTACTTCAGCTGAATTTTTATTTAACAAAGAGGCAAAGACAAGAAAATACCTTTTTTAAAAAAACATTCCTGAAGCATCCAATAGAGGCTATTTTGATTGTCTATTAGATTATAATAATTTAACTTAAAAATGTCAAGAAGTTTTTAGTCTTTTGTCAGATTTAATTTATCTTCCTTACTTTAGATAAGGAAAAATTAAGCTGTTTTAATGGCTATCTTAATGTCTTACTATAAGTGTCTGTAGAATGAGGAGACTTTGTTAATTTTAAAAACAGTATATTTTAGTAGCATGAAACCCACCTGCTGTCATCAGTGTAACTCTTCCATTTAATTCCCTAAAATCTAGGGATTTAACACCCTTAATTGGTTGGATGCGGTGGTATGCACCTGCATTAAAGCTGCCTGGAAGGCTAAGATGGGATGATTGCTTGAGCCCAGGAGTTTGAGGCTGCAGTGAGCTGTGATCACACCACTGCATTCCAGCCTGGATGACAGAATGAGACCCTGTCTTAGAAAAAAACTACATATATATATGCACACGGTTTAGAGTCAACTGGTTCTACAGCTTGTTAAAACAAACAGCAATCCCCAGCCCTCCTCTTTTAACATATTTCCTTCTGCAGAAGCAACCACTTTTATCTCTCTTAGCCAATTGCTTTGGTAGTTAATCAAATATTGAATAATATGGCTTTATTGATATTTAAAAATTTTTCTATTTTAGACATTATCTATTGACTTTCTACTATGAAATAAGAGAATCTGAATCCTTCCTCCTCCATGACTACCCGGTAGGTGCATACATACTCCTATTCCCTCACCCTCCCTATACAGTTACATAGTAATTTTCATCGTAGTATGACTATATATGCTATTTAGACTCCAGTCACAGAGTAATACCTATGTAGACTGTAGCACAGTGGTCAGGAGCATGGACTTGAAGGCATACTTTCAGGGTTTAAATCCTATCTTTGCCACTTACTGGCTGTCTAGCTATTTAGGCAAGTTACTTCACCTCTCTATGCCTCAGCTTCCTTATCCACAAAATACTCACTGTAACATTATCTACCTCTTGGGTTTACAAGGATTAAAAAGTTCATATATGTAAAGAACCCAATATGTTACAAAGTGCTACAGAAGTGTTCTTTATGTCCTGAACCACTTTTTTGTTTCTCTTATAGTGTTCTCTTGTATTATTCATTTGCTTAGATACCTATGTGCTTATTGTTAATTCAACCACAAATGCACTTCCCATTCTTTCAACTGATTGACTTACTTTATCAATTTTGTGTTCTTGTAAAGTCTCGCTACAGCCTTATCAGCTGCTCCAGTCTGAACTGGCTGTCTTTATTCTACATCTTATATAGAGCTATTAAACTTGGTTCTCTCTATAGCATTCTACTAAAAGTTCCTTTTCTCTCCCCTGTGCTGGAACTCCTGTCCTCATTTTTAGTAAAACATACTTCATTAGCTTCAAGAGAAATGATGTGTAGGAGGTAATCTTTTTGAAGTCTTGCATGTCTGAAAATGTCTTTATGCTATCCTCATACTTGACTAATGGTTTAAAGCTAAATATACAACTCTGGGCTGAAAAAAAATTCCTTCAGAATTTAGAAGGCATTCCCCATCATTCTCTAGCTTCTGATATTGCTTATAGGAAGTCTGAAGCCTTTCTGATCTTTTGTATGTAATTCAATTTCCACCCCCCCCTTTTTTTTACAGGTTTATGAGATTGTCTCTTTGTCACCAGAGACAATTTGAAATTTCACGGGCTGGAGGAGCGTGGTGGCTCAGGCTTGTAATCCCAGCACTTTGGGAGGCCGAGGCGGGCAGATCACAAGGTTAAGAGATCAAGGCCCTTCTAGCCAACATGGTGAAACTTCTCTCTTCTAAAATACAAAAATTGGCTGGGCATGGTGGTGCATGCCTGTAGTGCCAGCTATTTGGGCGGCTGAGCAGGAGAATCGCTTGAACCTGGGAGGCGGAGGTTGCAGTGAGCTGAGATCGTGCCGTTGCACTCCAGCCTGGTGACAGAGTGAGACTGTCTCAAAATAAAATAAAATAAAATAAAATTTCACAAAATGTGCCTTGTCATGGGAACTCAGTAAGCCCTTTCAATCTGGAAACACGTATGTTTCAGTGGCAGGAAATTTCCTTAAAATTATTTTGCCAGGGTTTTGCTCCCTTTCTTTTCCTTTTTTTTGGAATTACTGTTTTGATATTCAACTTCCTACACTGGTCCTCTCATTATTTTATCTTTTTCTCTCTCTCTACTTTCTGAGATATTTTCTCAATTCCATTTTCCAACATTCTATTGAGTTTTACATTGCAATTTTTTGACAAAAGCTCAACCCTGTAAAACATTCTGTTCTTGTTTCATGTATGTAATATCCTATCTTTCTGAGGATACTAATCATTTTTAAAAAGTTTTCTGTTCCCTGCCTAGTCTCTATAACTCCAAGTTATTTTTTCTCCTTTTTTCTTTCTCGTGCGTGTGTGTGTTAGTCTCTCTCTTTCAGGTTTTTCTTTGGAAAATTGGTATCCTTAGATCTTTCTTCTCAGGCTAAATACCCGAAGGGTATTCTTCTAATCCCTTGAATGTAAGGTAAAGGCAGGTGAGAGGAGAAAGGTGGAGAAGTCTCATCATTCTGTGTGCACATATTCACTTAATTCCCTCACATGTGGTAAAATGCCCTGTTCTTAATTTTACCTAGTATCTCCCAATCGAAAGATTCTTGGGCTTTTTTTTTTTTTTTTTTTTTTTTTTTCCTGCAAAGAGTATACTTGGCGTCTTATACCAAGGTGGAGGTATAGGTAGGAAGAAAAGTTGTTCAGTGGAATGGTGAAGAAGAGGAGACCTGGGGATTTACTACCACATGTGTCTGGCTCAATTCGTGAGCTGAAGATTCTGTGGTAAAGATCAGCTTCATTTTTAGCTTTCTTCATAGGCAGATTAAGATTTGGCTTTCGTAAGTGAGCTATGTCATTTGCTTTTCAGCTTTCAATCTGTGTTTGTGTGTGTGTATGACTGTTTTCTTCTTTCTCATTCTCCTTGAAGGATCATGTCTTTAAAATAAAATACCTTTGCTAGTTTAATACAGTTTCTGGAGGAGTATAATTAGATGCTTGTGTTCAATCTGCCATTCATCTCCTCCAGATGTCCCTGTTGAATCTAAAAATCATTCCTACTTTCCATCCGATTGTCCAACCACCACAGTGGTGTGCTAAGACTAACATGGCCTTAGGGCTGATTAAGATGAACCTATAGCGTGGGTATCACATTTTAGAATACTCTACTCTGGGCTTCTCAGGCACCAATTTCCACAGAACTTGACTGTATAAACTGGGAACAGCAACTGTGACAATAGCCTATACAAATGACTTGCACAAATTAGAAAGGGAATCCCTTACTGAAGAAATTTACTGCCATCTACTGGAAATTTCATGAAATAACTACAAATCAACCATAACAAGTGACAGGAATTAATTGGGTACTGATAATTTGCGCAAACCTAAGAGGCAGCACTGCCTAGAAACTACCTTCACAGAAGTAAACAAATCTCCACTGTGCTATAATATGGAAGAGAAAAGATCAAATTTGTAATCCCAACTTCAAATTACAGCAGGAATTGTGGTCTAGCACTTCAACTTGGTATTGATAACTAATCTCCCAAAGGAAAAAAATGTTACTGCTAATCAAAATCTAGCTCGTAAGAGTAACATAAAAACTGATTTTAGTAGGTTAGCTGGAGAACTTAAGTACTCGTTTTTATTTTATTCATATCAGTTTTGAGACGAGACCCAAATAATGACTTCCAAAAGAAAATTAGGAAAGTGTTCAGATGTAAATGAAGTTTTTGCATTTCACTGGCTAATAATACAGGCTTCTTTCTAATGGGCAAACCTGACTACATCAGATTGGTAGAAAGGTCAGTTCTATTATAATGTTTGCTTTGAAAACTTTAATGTTCCACCACAATTGATTTATTTTAGGGAACAATTTGCACATATCACAAAATCTGTGATTGCTTATGCACGATTTCATCTATAATAAACACTAAATGAACAAAGAAAACTGTATTCATCAAACCATGTTCACCTAACTCATAAAGTTAGAACTGACGCTAATTTAATCTAATATAGAAAATGCTCATATTCATATACACCTCAAACATCTACCAGCTGCCTAAGTTCACTGCATGAGTGTTTTCAGCCACACTCAAACATATTCATTACAGTAGTTGAAACCAGTTTTGCCATCTTTTTGTGTGTCACTGAGCATATTTTTGAGAGTAGTGCCCCTAATCACTTTGTCTCCATTTGCACAGCATAGTGATTTTTAGGACTCTGTATGTCACATTATAACAGAACTGACTGTAGCTGGCTATTTTATCCCATAATTAAGCCAATTCTTCCACAATATTATCATCAGTATTACAACATACATATTCCTGAATCTTATTTTAAAGAATAAATATATATTTACTCATGGTTTTTAAGAAAACCCAAAACTACTCAACCAAAACCTTGAGGAACATTTTTCCAGGGTTTTCTACCTTAACTATTCAAAATGATTTTGATAATTCTTGAGCTCATTTGAGCTCTCCTCAAATTACTTGCATATCACTGCAATTATTAATGTGGAATACAAATATAAAGCCGAGATATTATGCAGCTGTTTTAGTGTGAGCTTTCTTAGAGACAGTAGTCAAATAATCTTATTTTGTAGGAGAGGAACAAGACATGACATTTTAAGGAAATTTCAAAGAAAACCAACGGCTGCCATCATCCACTGAGCTCCAACTTTCAGAGCTAGAAATACTAGGATAGTATTTTTTATAAAGATTTTGAGCACTTACATGTATTAATGTATCATCATAAAGTTCAATGTCTCCTTCTGTTGGTTAAGTAAATACATACATTAATAGCCAATCTAAATATTGACTACTGCCATACACAGGCATTATTTATCAGCATTTTTACTTTATTTTAAAAAGGGAACATCTCTTATATTAAATCTTCATTACTCACATATCCCATCTATCAAAGCTATTACCACCCAGTAGTTTTATAGAAGATTCTAGCATCTGAAAACTATTTCATAAATTATCTAGATATTTCCAACAATATCTTGGGAATAAAAAAGGAATCCTCACTAGTTCACAAATAGAGAAAGTTAGAACTGACACTAATTTAATTTAATAGAAAGGGCCAGGATTAAAATCAAGGTTTCCCAGCCTAAGCAACACAGTGAGACCCTGTCTCTACAATAAATTTAAAAAAAAAAAAAAGCCAGGCATGGTGGTAAGTGCCTATAATACCAGCCGCTTGGCAGGCGGAGGTGGGAGAATCAGTTAAGCCTGGGAAGTTGAGGCTGCAGTGAGTCATGATTACACCACACCACTGTAATCTAGCCTGGGCAACAGAATGAGACCCTGTCTCAAATAAACAAAAAAAGCTAATGTTTGATTAATTCATATCTTTTATTAATTTTGATCAAAAGCTTTATCCTTTATAATATTTTTATAAATACCCTAGAGAACATATTCTAGTTTAATATTAATTTCCTTCAAAGTTTCCTCAAGTTTTTAGTTGCTTAGAGGTCAATAAACTTAGGAAAAGATGGTATACAGTAAAAGCTTGGCTTTTCCTCAGAGTTTTCCAACTTAATTTCCTTTCTTGGTCTTCATGTATACGTATAAACAAAAAAATTTTAGATAGTTAGCTTTGACTCTAAAAGACTTTTGATATATTTTCAAGGCTTGCTAGAATATAACAGAGGCATATTATGTTAAATTACAATTTTAAATATATTTACCAAATGTTTATGGGTTTTTCAGGACTCTGTGGTTTGCCTTTTCACTCTCTTAATGATGTATATGCAACCCAACACAAATTCTTTAACTTTATTTGTTTGTTTGTTTTTAAGCTCGTCAGCTATCGTTAGTGTTAGTGCATTTTGTGTGTGGCCCAAAACAATTCTTCATCTGATGTTGCCCAGGGAAGCCGAAAGATTGGACATCCCTTGCTTAAGAAATCTTTCTTTATCTGATATCATAAGAATATCCTACATTATTTCTAGAAGTTTTATTGTATTACTACCTCTCTTGTTCAGAGCTTGGAATTGATTTTGTGTATGATAATAAGGTAGTGGTCAATTCCTCCTCATCCCCACACCCCTCCAAAAAGATATCTTATTGACCCAGCACCAATGATTGAAAAGATCATCTTTTCCCTTACTGTCCTGCAAGGGCACCTTTTGACAAACCAAATGTCCTTATATATATGGGATCACTTCAGGACTCTCCATTCTATTTCACGATTTATTTATTCTTCCACCAACACATTATCATACTTTTTTTTTTTTTTTAGATGGAGTCTCGCTCTGTCACCAGGCTGGAGTGCAGTGGTCCGTTCTCGGCTCATTGCAACCTCCAACTCCCTTGTTCAAGTGATTCTCCTGCCTCAGCCTCCTGAGTAGCTGGGATTACAGGCACGTGCCACTACGCCCAGCTAATTTTTTTTTTTGTATTTTTAGTAGATATGAGGTTTTACCATGTTGGCCAGGATGGTCTCATTCTCCTGACCTCATGATCCACCCACCTCAGCCTCCCAAAGTGCAGGGATTAAAGGTGTGAGCCACTGCACCTGGCCTTTTTTTTTTTTTTGAGATGAAGTCTCTCTGTCACCTAGGCAAGAGTGCAGTAGCGCAGTATTGGCTCACTGCAAACTCCGCTCTCCAGGTTCAAGCTATTCTCCTGCCTCCGCTTCCTGAGTAGGTGGGACCACAAGTGCATGCCACC